AACACTGTTATGGCAATTTGAAGGCTAACATCTCCTTGCAATTTTTATAAAATATTATTTTCATTAGCTCCTCGAGTATGCTTTTCTGAGGATAGTGAAGGGGAAGAACGAGTAAGGATGCCTCGCAGAGGTGGGAAGGGGATGGGGGATGGTGGTGGGGAGGGGGAGCAGGGGATGCTTTGCTCCCAGTGCCTGTATGATGTATGCACACTGCCATGGAATCAACGAATTGAACATACTCAATTATCTTCGGAGATAGACTTAAAATATCCCGGGGAAGTTCATTCAGGGGGTAGCCCTCATCTATAAACAAACAAGTGTGTAACCCACAGAACTGGCTGGTGGTGCACCCGCCTCCTCCCCATCTCCCCGCAGACAGTGACAGGAGCAGATCTGCTGACTGCGAACTGGGCTTGACTCACGGAACTAAACAGCATTTCTGATGAGACCGAGTCCCCAGGCTGCCTCTGGAGGAAGCCGCTGGGGTCCAGCCCAGGCTATGCCCGTGCCTCTGTCCCTTCCCCTCCTAAGACCTCTCTGCTTTAGAAACACGGCACTTTCACCCTCAAGTAAGCACAGAACATTAAAAGGGGGTGGACGTTGACCACACGGGGTGTGGCTGGCTGGGGTGAGAATGGGGATGACCCAGGTTTTAGGTTTTGCAGACAGTCTTGCTAAAAGACTACTCAAACTCAGCCTTTCCTGAAAAGTTGACTACAAATGCCCCCTGTTCACTCTCCTCACACCCCCCTTCACCCCCAACCAGGAGTCACGGGCAGTACATCAGAGTGGTTATGAGTTCAGACCGGGGCTTCAGACAAACCTGGATTTCTATTTGGTTCTGCCATGCAGCTGGTGTCCTGGACCAGTGGCTCTACCTTGCTGAGCTGTTTTGTCAGCTGGGAAATAGAAATAATACCAGTAGCGCCTCAGGCAGGGAGGCATGGGGACTGAGGCGGGTACAGCGCTCCCCACAGTGCGGAGTCTGTTCTGAGGGAGGCCACACCTGTTACAGAAGAGGATCCGTCCAGCAAGACATGAGTGAGGGGCTTGTGGCTCAGACCTTCATCTCAGGGGTGGAGACCAGAACATTAAAAGACACCAGGGTTCAAACCCCCATGTGGGAGGGATGGCTACTGTGACATTCTCAGATGGCTGAGACTAGGATTTACACAAAGATACAACAAGCGTGAGAGTTGGAAGACCTCGCGGGCAATTTTTATGATTGAGAAGGTGACCAAGAAAAGAGCACGCCAGTAACAGACTGACAGGCACCCGGTGAGGGTACCAAGCCAGTAGGGCATTGGGCAAGCTTTGCAGAATTAAAATACCACCAGGAATCTGCTCGCCTTTCCCCAGACCCCTGAAATCTACGGACGACCCTAGACCAAGTGCCACACTGCTAGTTTCCAGTGAAATTCTCTCTGGTCCCCTGGACAAGGGCATTATTTTTTGGCCAACGCAGCACCTGATTTGCCAACAGTAGGTGCACTCACTCCAAAGGTGGAACGAATGGCAGAAACCCAAGAAGATAAAACCGCTGACGTCAAAACTCTCTACAAAGAACCTCCTTCCAAGCAGAGAAACATCAGCTTTTGATGGCATTGGGTGTCATTGTTCCCCTTCTCCAGCCTGTGTCAGAGGGTGCCCCTCCCTCCCATCTACAGACACTGGCTGCTGCTGCTTGCAGCCCCTACACCCTGCTGGCCCCTCACCACATCCACCCATTCCCAATGGGGGGGCACCCATTTTTCTAAAGACCGAGATGAGCCGGGCCCCTTCCAGACCCTGAAAAGTTCTCCAGGCCGAGTTTGATTTTAGGTACGATTCCCTGCTGGTCCTCCAGCCCTCGGCCGCTGGAAAGTTCAGATTCGGTTGTACCAGGACGGGCATCCTGTCTGAAGCACTTCCCCAGACATATTTTCAATCTACTCCCTTAATGTAGCCTGCCAGGATTAATAAATCCTCCAAGCAGTCTCCCCTGGTCCACTTCTTCTTTATCTCCCGGCAAACCGCTCATCCACCACCAGCGAATGATGAGTTTTCATACTGCCTTGGTTTTCCCTGGCAGAGGGCACAGCCTTTTCCCTTTCATTCTCAAACTCCTCTAGATTGAGCGATTCATGAAAAGAATTGGGTTTTCTCCACCCTGGAATGTTTCCGTGTTGCTCAGCCTTCTCTCCGTCCACCTCACATCCTCTCCTCCCTCTTTCTGCATCCCTTTCGCTTCTCCCTTACCTTCCCCTCTCACACTGTCTCCACCAGCACCAAGGATCCCTTCTCATGCCTGCATGCCAAGCACTCCGGTCCTTTTTGAAAGACCAGATAAAACTCTCCCAAGACCATCCCTGTGATCTTGGGAGGCTCCTCCCTGACTCTTGAGCTCCGTTCCTGGTTTTGGATGCTGGCAACGACCGAATTCAGCAGCAACAGCAGCCAGAAAGGCACGGAGCAGGGTGCTATTTGGGGTGTATTGGAGGGACCAGCATATGGGCTTGTGTCAAAACCTTCAGAGCTCGCTAGTTTTGGAGCTGAGTATAGAAGTGTGCCACTAGCGCTGAACACTGCTTCAGCTGGTTCAACCCTCATCTTTTTTGTACAACACCTCCACCCACCTCAAACCCACCATTCCTCCCCACCCCTGCTCTGAGCTCTGGGATACCAAGAAAAGTTTCTCAGTCATATCCCACCTACACCACCCACCCTAAGCAAGCAAGACCTCTTGACCAGAAGCTGCCAGGTCAGCAGACAGTTGTGTTGCTCCTTGCTAAAGACTCCCTGTCCCTTCTCGCCAGCTCCAAGCTCATGCAAGCAATTAGTCCCCATGTTCCAACAAGAGAGAGCGAGTAGTGACGGAAAGACGGGCACACTGGCCCAGCTGTCTGTATCCACCCTTCAGGGCACAGGCCAGAAAGGGGGCCCATCAGGGTCTCCCCCTTAAGAAGGAGGTCATTACCTTGGCAGAGGCTTGCGGGCTGTAATGCTGGCGACAATGATGCTCTCAGGACGCGGGGTGGCCACCGCTTTAAAGGTTCCTCGCCAGAACTTCTCAAAAAGCTGCTTCTCGCCTTGCTGAACGCTCGCCATCGCCAACCCAGGGGCCACTCCCGGGGCGCTGTCCGAAGTGCTGAAACGATGATTCCAAACCGGGGCACACCCGGCTCTGGGCTCTGTCCACGTGAAACCTAGAGGGATCGGGTGGGAAAGATCGGGGTTCAGGGCGGGGGGTGGGGCGCCTCAGCCGGGCAGGCGGGGGAGAAAGGAGGCTTGTCCCCGGCGTTCTCGGCTTCTGGGTTGGCTGGGGCTGCGCGCTGAGCCTGCGGAGCCCCGCGCCCCAGTTAGGGAGGAAAGGCTGGCTTTCTTGCGGCGCCAGGACAGGAGAGGCGCCCGGGTCGTCTGTGTGTGCGTGCGCGTGTGAGCTCGGGCGCGCTGGGTTTTGTCTCTCTCACAATGTGACGTTGGAAGAGGAGGCTGGTCGCGCAAGCTGCACTTTCCTCCCTCCCCTCGTCTCCTCCTCCCCACCAGCTCCCGCCTCCTCCGGCTCAGCCCTCCGCCGCCATCTGCATAACAAAAGCCCGCAGGTCCTGGGAGGAGAAAGGGCGGGGCGTGCGCCTGTCACTAGGGCCCCACGGTGGCAGACTTGCGGAGCTGACCCCAGGAAAAGCCTTCGGCACCCCGAACGGAACCAGGCAGCAGATCCTGCTTCCCAGCCCTCTCACCTCCCCCACTATCGCAGGCCTTCCTCCATCCGCTCCTGGGTGTGATCCAGGCGGCCACCTCCCTTCCCAGCCCCTTGGCAAGTCTCAAAGCGAATCTCCTATGGAAGGGGAGAGTAAAAACTTAATCTCTCCGCTCAAGCCAATCTCTCCCACCCCACACACTTCTGGGAGGGACTGCCTAGGCCAGAGATGGGAGAGGGGGGTCCCCTGTGTTCCTCTTTGTGCCTGAGGGCCTCGAGATCCCCACCACCCAGAAAGTGCCGTTGGATGGACAATCCGTCACCAACACGGCTTCTCGCCATCTGCCAAGCCGCTCCCCGCTCCCCCCGCCCCGCAGAGGGGCGCAGCATCACATCTGTGCACGCGGCGCCTTTGTGCCTCGCAGCCAGCCAGTCCACCATCCCGCTGCCTAGCAGTCCACAGCGAAGAGCACCCACCCCACCCCGCCCCACCGCATCCCATCCGCTCCTGGGAATTCGGCTACAGCCACTTTCCTTAACACAGCTTGTCTCGGGAGGGGAGTCTGTTTTGGAGAAGAAAGCTTTCGGGGGAGGGATTTGAGGGGGAACTCTGAGGATTGGGGTGGGGGGGGATAGTTACTTTTTGAGCTCTTCCTCGATCCGCTTCCCAGTTCAACGCTAATCCCTGAAAGTGGAAGCTCAGAACCACAAATAAACCCTAGCCACAGAGGGTTTTGGCAGAAGAATTTCTCTACTTTCACCCTCAGGGTTTTCATTAAGAAAAAGAGGTAATTGTAGGACCCCTTAGCTCATCTCTCCCCTGGAGCCCTTTAATCTCAGCAGAGTTGCTATTCTCACTCCCCAGGCTGCAGACTCCTGGAAGGAAAACTCGCCAATTCTTAAAGGCCTCCCAGCGCCTAGCACCAGGTCTCCACCACGGCTCTAACACACCCCCCCCCCTATCGCTGATAGGTATGGAGACCCAGGAACCCCAAAAGCAATGTGAACTTCAGGAATTCTTTAAAAGGGAACAGGAGGGAAGTGGGGCGGGAAGGGGAGGAGGAACGCAGACAGAACAAGATGGGGGAGGAGAAGGAAAAAGAACCCTGAGGTCACCGGGCTCTGGTCCAGAAGTGCATCTACTTTGGATATACGTATGTGTATTGGATATTGGAGTCGGTTTATGTGAGTGCCTGGGAGCGCTGCTCGCTCTGCAGTGACCCCTTCTGGTCGACAACTAGAGATGCATTTGCTAGCTTCTTAGAGTGGGTTGCTGCTGCCAGGAGGTGGGGTTCCTTAGGGCTGGGGAGCTTGGAGGTAAAGGAAACTAGAGACTGGGCTCCACCTCTCCCATCCCCTCCTGCCTCTCAAAGATCCCCACTGCCCTTGGCTCTAGGGCCCTACTTCCTGACGTTTTCATTTTAAAGCCTTTGAGAGCTGGCTCTGTAGCAGCCTGGGATATTGAAACTCAGCCTTAGTCATGACATTAGGAGTGGGAACTGAGTCACCTGCATGGAAGAGGTAGCTGGGTCCCTACCTCCACAGATCAATTAACATTTCCCAGCCAGTTCCCCTGCGAAGTTTCTGCAATGTTAATAAAGTCTCTATTTGCATAACATCACCCCCTTTGATACCTAAACAGCACAATATGGCTAATCATTGTTCATCAGCATTAAGGGACATCAGGATATTGAGTCTGGACCCATTTCTAAAAGTCCAGTGAATAATAAATGATTCAAATAATTACCGGAATAATACGAAATATGATAATGAGACCAATTCATCTCTCTTTGTGCCTTTAAAAAGGATCAGACTAAATTATTCAAACTATAGGATTCTGTATTTTTTCATATAGACATTTGGGGGGGGGTAATGATTTAATTACTCAAGGTTTACCAATCCTCACTTCTTGAAGGCTGTACCTTGTGTCTAATCTGAATCCTACCTATGCTGTTTATTATCCATTCCTCTCCTAGAATATAGGTAGACACGGGTTCAAATGCCCCTGGATTAACACAGATAAACCAGGAATTCTCCTTCCCTAGTTGCATAATTTCCAAGATTCTACAAGACAAATACATTCATAGTTATCTCAGATAAAAATAGCTTCACTTATCAAGTGTATGTTACTATGTTACTATGTTCTAGTTACCACTTGTGTACTATATGTGTGTAATATGTATAGCACCAAGTAAAGAGACTAGTATAATGAGCCCCTGTGTATCCATTTCCAATTTCAACCATTACAATACATAGTTGATTTTTTAAAAATCCTCACCTGAGGATATGCTTAGAGAGAGGAAGGAAGAGAGAGAAACATTGATTGGTTGCCCTCCATACATGCCCCTACTGGGGACCCAACCCAAAACCCAGTTATGTGCCCCCAACTAGAAATTGAACTGGCAACCTTTTGATGCACAGGATGATATTAAACCAACTGAGTCACCGTGGCCGGGCTACAGTTGATTTTTTATTTCACTCTGACCCGCTTTCCACACTCCCAAATTATTTTGAAGCAAATCTAAACACTGCATTAGTCCAGTTGTAAATACTGCAGGATTATCTCTAAAAGATAAAAACTGCTTTTTTTTTTAAGTTTAGGGTCATTGTCATTATGATGCTAGATAAAATTAACAATAATTCCTTAATATCACCAAATGGCCAATGTTTGCTCTCTTAAGTGTTTTTTTTTAAAGATTTTTTATTGTTATTTAGAGAGGGAGAGAGAAAAACATCAATGTGAGAGTGAAACATCAATTAGCTGCCTCCTGCAGAACCAGGAATTGAACCAGCAACGTTTCAGTGCACAGGCGATGCCCAACCAATACTGACCAGGGTTCTTTCTTCTTTATTTTTTATTAGAAACTTGGTTGTTTGTCGAGTACAGTTCCCCATAACCCGTGTTTTCCTGATTGCACACCTGTGGCATCAACAATACGTTTCTCTAAGCCCGATTTCCTGTTAAGTGACGGTAAGATGTAGAAAGTTTAATCAGATTTAAGTTCAAAAGAAATTTCACCAGGAGGTTAATAATGTATGACTTTTCCTTTTCTTGTGATGCTAGCTGACACTGAGGATCTCTGCCTAATTTATGAATTTATTAGAGGTCGCAAAGTGGTGGTGAGCTCCAATCTATCATTCATTTTTCATGGATTAGCTGGAACACTTCTACAGAGAAATACCCCCTCATCAACTACTAGTATTTGGGGAACTCAGGGTCCGAATAGGACAGAAAAAGCAGAATAGAAACATGACCCTTTCTCTTTATTTACTGGTTTAAAAAATATAGAGATGGTGTGCTAACATCCTCACAAGGTAGTACTGAGTATGTGTTTTTATCCTTCTGATAAACGCAGATTTAAATATATCTTACGCGCTGTAGTTCGTTGCTATTAGTATTCTCATCAATGCGAAACTGTCTTCGTGAAGCCCAGACAGCCCATTCAATTGATTCCCGAGCCCTCTGGCACCAGAGAAGCCTTTGACGACATTCTCTTTTTCTGAGATGTCAAGATGTTCCAAGCTCAACTCACAAATTTCCTGCCCAGACCTGGAATGGGCCATTCCTCCAAACGGCACTGGTTCCCTTGAGTGGGTTGCCAGGGTTGTTCACCTCTACTGGGTTAGTTACTGTTTCTAGGACTTTTTAGAGTAGAGACCTAGGAAATTTTATTTGGGGACAAAAGATATATACTATGACTTTCTACTGATAATTTGCTCTCAAATAAGGGCTGCAGGTTTGCCCCATTAATCATAAATCTTATACTTATATTTATGCCATGCCAAAAATCCAAGTTTAGTGACACCAACATAATTGCCCATTTCCTCAATCCCATAATATCCACACATCCCTTTCAGAACGACCATGCTTAGACTATTACCTATAATGTGACTGCTAAAGACAGTTTTAAGATTTTTTTTTAACCACTCACTTGGGTGTATATTCAAATTAATGTGTTTTAAAATCAACTGGAATAAAATCACATTGAGGTTTATTTACTTACTTTGCCTTTTGATTTTTAGAGATTGCTTTTAAATATAACTTTCTTTTTTAATTAAGTAAAATATTGACATGGCTCTAAACTCAAAACTTCCAAAAAGGTATATTCAGACAAATCTAGACACCTTGTCCCACCCACCCTCTTTCCCTCTCCAGATATACTTTTAAAATTTCTTATAGTTTGCCGAAACCGGTTTGGCTCAGTGGATAGAGCGTCGGCCTGCGGACTGAAAGGTCCCAGGTTTGATTCCGGTCAAGGGCATGTATCTGGGTTGCGGGCACATCCCCAGTAGGAGATGTGCAGGAGGCAGCTGATCGATGTTTCTTTCTCATCGATGTTTCTAACTCTCTATCTCTCTCCCTTCCTGTCTGTAAATAATCAATAAAATATATTTAAAAAAATAAAAATAAAATTTCTTATAGTTTATCCTTCCACTGAAAAATATACTTCTCATTCAAAATTATTCCATTAAAAGGAAAAAAAAGAGTAAGAGCACAGTGGAGAC